AAGGTCATAAAGATACTTGTATATGTTATCTTGTAGATGCCTTATTCTTCACCTTTCACATTTATAACTATAGTCCACCTGAAATTGCTTTTGTGTGTTGAGTAGGCTGGGGGTGAGGGTCCAGGGTTTTTTTATTTTCTCCCATACAGATATTAAATTGACCCAGCACCATTTATTGAAAGGATTGTTCTGCCCCCACTGCTCCGAAGTGCTCCTGTGTTGCATGTCCTTCATATATGAGTCTATTCTGGGCTTTTTGTTTATACTTTGGAAAATATCAATATCTTAATTGTTCTAACTACATATTAAGCCTTGATATTCAGTAAAGTAAGTCTACCAACTTTGTTCTCCTTTAAAATTATTGTGGTTATTTTTAGCCCTCTGAGTCTCCATATAAATTTTAGGATCAGTTTTTTGATTTCCAGTAGTTCTACTAGAACTACTGAGAACAAAGTAGAACGAAGTAGTACTACTGAGATTTTGATTAGCATTGCATTGAATCTATAGATCAAGTTAAGGGAAATTTAAATCTTTAAAATGCTGATTTTTTTCCATCAATGAATATGTACATCCTTCCCTTTATTTAAATTATCTATAATTCTCTCACAAATGTTTTGTACTTTTTCATCCCTGAGGATTTCTCAAAGTATTTGATACTTTTTAATGCTATTTATAAATAGCATTTTTTAATATTTTTAATTTTTAAATTTTATTTCTTTGTTATTGGTATATAGAAATAAAATTGATTTTTATATTAACCATTTTTATAGATGTTTAGGGTTTTCTATATACAGAAATATATCACCTGTTGATAATGACAGTTTTATTTCTTCTTTTCCAATCATATTTTTTAATTTTTTATTTTTTAACCTTATTGCCCTGGCCAGAGCTGCAGTACAATGTTAAAGAGAAGTGGTGAGTACAAACATTCTTGTCTCATTCCTTATCCCAAACATTTCATGTTACATGCCTAAGTCAACTTTAGTAAATTATGTTATATAGTTTTTTAAAACAGCTACATAATTTTACATTTCCAACAGCAGCATGGGAATTCCAGTGGGGATACTAAACATCTACATCTAGACTCCTAATGGTCTGTTTTCATATTTTATTCCTTCTCTCTTTCATTTCAGAATTCAACCGCTAAAAGTAAAAAAGCCAAAACTACTACACATGGTTGCTTTTCTGAGAATTAAATGACAATGGAGAGGTTTGAGGAGAGGAGTGAGGTTGGACAGAAAGTGAGATTCAAGAGGAGATATTTGGTTTACTCCATAAATTTTTGCATTTTTACTTTCTTTATATTGCTTTTTATATTCTTGTGTATTATTTCTGTTTAAATTTTCCTAGGATAAGAAATAGTGGGGAAAGATATAAAGATAAAAATAGTATTTAAAGTGAACAAATATGAAAACATTAAAATTATTTAAATATATATGAACAAAAATGTATTTTTATTTTTGACTGGACATTAGCTGTCAGCTAATGACACAGAAAGGCTAAGTGCAGGGGATTTACCAAGCAAATTTGGTTATTATCTCATCCTTCAAACATCTTCACAGTCTCTGAGGCTTTCCTTCACACTCCAGAGAGACTTGTGCCAAGATATATTAGTATGAAGGGGATCAGATCTTCACAAAGTTAGACTTCATTTGAAGTGTTTCTGTTACCTTAGCCTTTCCACAAAATGTTTAAATATCAAAATATGGGATTTATAACATTAAATAAATCTCTGGATCTGAATGTTCATTTAAAAAAATTTGTTTATTTTCTTCCTAACTAAAATTTCATAGTGACTCCATTGAGAAAAACCTAAATCTTATATTTCTTTTCCTACCTATTTTGAAGAATGAAAATAATGAGCATCTGAAAAATGAAGAGTATTTAATCGTAAAAGTGTATTTAAAGAAAATGTTATGCAGGTCTCCTGCAAATTTCACCAGCTCTGAAGCACTATTCCATAACACAAAGATTTTACTCAGGTATATTAGAGAGCTTATCTGCTGACAAGCCATTAATTCTGTCTTATCAGTATTGCTTTCTTTGGTGCAACGAAAAGAAAATTGCATGATATTTCCCTTTTTAAGTTCAATTCTTCTTACAAGTTTTGTTTGCTTCTCTCTTCCATGGCAACAGTTCTCTTTTAAAGAATGCCAAGCTCTTCGCGCACTCACCACCAAGCTAAATGCAATGGTGCAAAAACAGTGTTTGAGTTGTATTCTCTGCCTCCTCATCTGGATGAATTGGGTTGAGGACTCACCTTCTAGTTCAGGAGAACACCTGGCTGTGCCCTCTTAGTGAAATTCTATTTTAAGCCATCTCTTCCCACACTGGTGAGCTCTTGCCCTATTTTTAAATAACTTCATGTTGCATTACGATAGACCATGCCATTTCACACATGGATTGAAGAAAGAGAGCACAACTGGGTTGCAGAAGATCTGGCTTCAATCCTGGTTACTTTCTACTAATCAAACTAAATGACAAAGGCTAAGATACAACTTCTTGAGGCCTCTGTTTTGTCACCTGTCAATGAGGCATTTGTAATTGATGACTATTGAGGGCTTTTCCAGTTCTAATAAGCTATATAAAGCTTAAAAAGGGAACAATTCTATTCATTTCTTAATAGTTTGGCCAGAAATTGCATATGAGGGAGAAATAAAGTGGTTTTAAATTTTTTACTTACATTTGGAGCTGAATAAAATAGGTAGATGTGAACATTAATTCATATCAGTGATATATTTTGTGATATGTTTTGTTCAAAGTACCAGTTTGAATGGATGCCAACAGTTTGTTTTTTTGGCCCTCACTCCTGGGCTTCCGACACCATTCTTAACCGCTAGAAATATGAGAAAGAACAAAGACATTACCAATTGATTTCAAACTGGGCTTGTAAAACTCTAGAGTCCTACAAACCCCTTCAGAGGATCTGCAAAAGTTTTATTTGAATTTCACTTTTTAAAATATATGTTGTATATTTTTTATATACAATGTGTATATATCTTTATTCAGAGATATTATATGTAGTCATCCAACAAATATTCATGGGGTGCTTATTATGTGTGAAAAATAGGTCTAAGGACTCAGAATTCAGGAATGAACAGGAAGACAAAAATCCCTGCCCTCCCCCCATGAAATTTACATTCTAGCAGAGGTAGAAAAATGGACAAAATAAGTAAGTTATATAGTATATTTAAATTCTATAAAGGCAATGGAGGAAAATTAAGCAGGAGCTACAAAATAAATCAAACGGTTAAAATAGGTCTGTCTGAGAAGGTGGCAGTTTAGTGAGATTTAAAAGATGTCAGGAGCAAGACAAAGGGACAGCTAGATCAAAGCCCCCTGCATCAGGAGAGTGAGGGAGCAGCCAGACTAGAGCACCACTCAGGAAAGGGGGAGACAGAAACAGACGAACCCAGAGAAAGAATGGAGGCCTGCAGGTCATAGTAGATCTTTGGCTTTTAACACCTAGGAAATCTCTAATGCTTTGATTAGTGCTGCCTGGTACAGTAGTTTTATATGGAGCTTTCGTGTATCCTCTTTACTTTCACTTGAATACAGCACAGAACAAGGAGATTACATTTCTGCACTAGTCTTATTCAAAATCAGGGTCATTCAAGCAAAAACCATGCATTTTTATGACTACAAATGTGAGTTAAGTTAAATGACATGCCAGGCCAGGCTTAGGTATATCTGCTTATGTCACTTTTCCACCAACAAGCAAATTCATAATATATCATTGAGGTTATATTATAAGTAGCTCTAACCATCATTTTAGGTCATGGTTACTTCTAATCCTACTGACATTTATTGATAAGGAATGCAAGCTATTTTCAAAATAATTGTTATGCCATGAAACTTCAGATGGAAAATATCACTTATATCCCTTTCAAGTTTATAATGCAGTTCATTAAAAACATCCTGAGATTGCACAGTAAGCTGCTATCTTTTACAACTATTTATCTAAATCACTATTTTCTTCATAGTGAATAACCAAATAAAATTCAACTGTAAGTTGGCTGTTGGGATAGGTATAACACAAATTCCATCTAGGAACCCCATATGAAGTTCTTACCTTCATTAGAATAGGCTTGTGCTTACTGGTACTCCAAGTGATTCTGGAAAAAAAAAAAAAAAGCTTGTGGAACTCACAATTTGAATTAATAATAAGCAAGTGATATAAGTGACATAAGTTTGAAATTAAAAAATAAATTTATATTAATGAAACTTTCACTTTATCTGATCAACCTACATGAATTTTGCAGAGTCAAAGATTTTTGCCTAGTAAAAAATCGACGGAAGAAATCATAATCGATGTAGAAATCATAAATGCAAGCAGGTAAAGAAGTCCATACTCTCCTTTTACTTTCTCATTTATTCACTCCCCCATATGAAGAGGTAAATGGGTTTTTTGTGGGAAAAAAAAAAACAATCTGTAAGTGTCCATTCTATTTCCAAAGTGGAAGAACACTCAATGTTCTATAACAAATGAGACTATAAGACTTTTCCTGACATATATCCTCACAACAAATACGTAAAAATATTTAGAATAGGAAATGTGCCTTCCCACAATAAGCCACCTGCTCCTATTCTTCTCCAACATCTAAGCCCAGATTTACCAAACTCAAATCATTTTTTTCACTGTAGCCTTTAATCTCTGCTTCCATGAAAATCTCCAGCAATTGTATTCCCATTCATTATTTTTTTCAATAAAGCCTATTTATCAATAATTTCCACATGTGTACAGTTAATAATCCCCAATCAATTTTGCAATATTATAATATACTTTTAATTAATTGATTTTTAAATCCAAGGCCTAAAAGCAGGGTCGGTAAACTTATTCTGTAAATGGCTAGATAGTAAATATTTTAGTCTTTACTGCCCAAATAAGGTCTCCGCCCAAACTCAACTCTGTTGTAGCACAAAATTAGCCATAGACAATTCATAAATGAATAGGTATGGTGGCAAAACTTTGTTTACACAGACATGTGGCAGCCTGGATCTGAATCCTAGACTATACCTTGCAAGCCCATGGTCTATAGTAAAAATGACTTATAATAACAACTAGACATTACATGTTTATAGAGGATGCTGTGCTGCCCACTTAGATTTTTCTTTTTTGGACTGAGGGAATCTTTCCTACAGCTGTTGCTATCAGCTGCCTTTGGGAACTGTCTTCAGCTGAAGGGAGATGCCTTGTCCAAGATCATGTTCCTTTCCCAAGGGTGGCCTACATCAAATGACTGGTTGTTGGGGTAAAGGGGAGAGCATGTTTGGAGCATATAAAGACATTGTTCCCCTGCCTCAACTACAGACAGCTCTGAAGATTCAACCCAGCTTCCAAGCTCCCCATGGAATCAGCTGAAGGACTGTGGACCTGCACCCTTCTCCTTTGCTTCCCTCTCACCATAGGTGTTAATCCTGAGAGCACTGCCTACTAAACTTTCTACATGCATTCGCATACTGGTCTCTGTGCTAGAGTCTCCTTCCTAGGAAACATGATCTGTACGGGATTTCTTGACTATTTCCGCTTTGTATGCTGCTAGACTTAAATCGATGTCTTCCGCTATATTCTAACAATGTCCATAACCACAAAATAGGGTGGCACATTTTTATTAACCATTCTAGTTAGCCAGAGAACTATTGAGACAGTAAGAAGCTTTGTGTCAATTGTTTTCTAGCATTGTCTGTGGAATAAGAAAAATTACAAACCTGATTCAAAGTCTACTCAAACATAAATTTGTTTTCAATATGCTGTAGCTTTACTCAAATGTTGACTTACACGCAGTCCTTAACATAAATATATGGTATTTGTTAGGGAAGAAGGGAGACAAATGGAAAGTAGAAATTATAATACATGCTCTGCTCACTGGCTTTTTAAAGAATGGGCCCCCAAATCATTATAAGGAGGAAGATTAAACTTCATTGAGTATTGAAAAAGAGTGGTTCTAATCATGGTCAACTTGATAAAGTAAAATTTGAGCAAGTCAATAGTAGAAGGGCAGGATGGGTACAAACTCCAAAACTTAGGCAATCCCTGCATTTCAGTGAGCTAATGGAAGACATAAAAGCTATAGTTAGACAATCAGCTGGCAATCAATAATACAGTAATTGATATAGATAAGGATCATCTATCAATGTTAAAATCATTGGTTGAAAGATTGTTGGGAAACAGGATACTCATCTTATTTCCATAATAAAAAATTCTCCCATAGAGTACTTACTAATTTATAAAAAAGAAACAGTACCTTTATTAAAGAGAAATCTGTCATAAACTACCTTAACCAAGTGATTAAGCTTAGTGTTATGTGCCTCTAGATATGACAAAATGGGAAGTATACAATACCACCTATGTAGTATTCTTGTCAAAAAAAATTTTATAATTGACTCATAAAGAAACAATCAAAATTCTAAACTGTGGGACAATTGGCAAGACAATTAACAAGAACTAGACAATTCACAATTGAACTAGACTCTTCCAAATGTTCTTGTCATTACAGGTAAAAAACCGGTTCTAAATTAAAGAAGACTAAAAAGATATCACAATCAAATGTAATATAAGAACCTTGATTGGGCTAAAAAAAAGCTCTCATTTGGGGGACAATTTATTATAATTTGAGGAACATTGGGGAATAATTGAAAAAATTTAATAGGCACTCTATATTAGATATTACTGCATATTGTATCACTTTTTAAATTCTTAGGAGTAAAAATAATATTGTGGTGATGTAAGAAAATGTCTTTATTCTTAAGAGGTAAGTATTAAAGTATTAAGAGGTGGAGTGACATGATGTTGCAGTTTACTTTCAAATGGCCCAAGAGAAAAAGGAAACTGGAGAGGATCTTTATTATGTATATAGAAAGATAATAGGAAGGTAGGTAGACAGCATACAAATGTAATAAAATGTTAACATTTGGTGAATCTAGGTGAAGGGTATGTGGGTGTTCATTGTGCTATTCTTTCAACATTTCCATAGGCTTGGAATTTTTCAAAACAAAGGCTGGGAAAAACAAAAGAGAGAGACTGGAGTCACTAAATGAAATAGCCTGAATATCCCTGACCTCAGAGTCACTTCCCACATCAGGGGGATGTTTCCCCATGCTTTTCACCAAATGAAGTCAAGTAACAGTGTTGGAGTTTCAAGAATGCCTAAGTCAGACTGTAGAATGGCTGTAGACTAATTAATTAGCCTCATCAAACCTCAGTCTAGTGAATTTTATTGTCTTAATTCACTTAAAAAAAAAATGCCTAAACAAAAACTGTTAGCTTCTCTACCCAAGCATAAGAAAGAGCTTTGGAGCACATGGAATTTAGCACCAAAAGAATTATGAACTGATACTTGCTCAGATATTTATTTACTCACCCAAAGAAAAACATTTGCCTTTTGTAACAAGATTCTTTGAATTCACCAAAGAGCCTAGTTGATCCCACAAATTTTGTTGTGGGGGTGTAGGGGCGAGACAAATATACATTTTGGAATCCTAAATCATGGCCTCCAGGAAATAGAGGCCCTTGACTTTCTACCTTGAGAGTTGAAGGAGAAGGTTTCAAATATTGTACAAGTCTCAACTTCTGAAAGTTCAGCACAAAAGGAAGATTGATATCTACAATAGGACTCTGGCATTCAATTCTAACCTTCCCTGCAGTGCCAGACCTATCCCTAAGTGTTCCTGGCTCACTGGTAGCATTTTAGTTAGACTGTGATTATTCATGGGGTCATGAACGAGAGCGATCAATACCAGAAACCAAATGGAACAGGCATTCGCCTCAACTGTCATATGTAAGGCTGAGATAACTAGTAAAACTATTGAACGATTGAAAAGGACTTGGCTCCTCTCACCAGTGAAACAAATTTTAAAATATGAAGATCAAGGACTGCCAAGGATAACAAACACCAAAGAACTGAAACGTCTTAACAGCAGGTGGTATCAGTGGGGCTTGTCTTTTGAAAAATGTGTCAGATCCTTTTAGGACTATGTATAACACTTCTGGTTCCTATGGTGATGCTGATAATACTTTGTCAATCATTGTGACATCTGGACCTACATTATATAGTTTTAAAAGTACCTTGAAATTTTTGAAGGTTAAATTTCTTTCTCCTCTAAATTGCTTAGTGTCAATTGTAGTTGTGATAATTGGAAGAGAAATACTCAGTCTGTGAGAAATACCACTGACCAACATTTCTTGCTTCTTCCAAGTCTCAGAGAAAGAGAAGAAGCCATAAACCGTAAGGCCCTTCGCAGATACCAATCAAAGTACGTGTCTTCAGAGTGGAAGAGACTAAGTAATTCATTAGACTTCAGGGCTGTGCCCAGACCTTCACTTAGGAAATGCCACTCACGGCAGTATTTTCCAATCTCAAGGATGGCAGTTTATTTGTCTGGTCATTCCTTAATTAATTTGTTTCTTAGGAAAGGGCATTTTCTAATAAAATTTTGTGGAAACATTTCCACAAGTCCAAGGCAGGCATAAACCACAAATCCTTCTACATGCCCCTTTACCAAAAGCTGTTTGTCATAGTGTTAGACCAACCATCAACCACAAATTTTATGATTGGCAGAGTGGAAAAGATGGACTTTCTGTTTTCTCTCTTTTATTGGCTTGTGAACTTTGTAATCTTACTAATAGTAAAGAGAATGTTGCTAAGTTATGAAATAAAACAACTGAATTTTTCCAGGTGCATAGGATTCCAGAAATGTTGTTAGACCATTTCTTTGAAAGTTTAGATTGGTCACTATACAGAAATTTATATACCACCACTCTGAAGCTTTGCAGGTTTGTCTTCTGCAGCAGGGTTACGTGCTATCGTACTGACAGAAGGAATCCTTCTTCCCCAATTCTAATCTCATTGCTCTTTAAGGCAACATCACTGTTGATTAGAAAGGAGATCTTCTCACGTGCTTCAACATTTATGAACTTACTGTGTGATTTCAGTGCCACTCTCAAGAAGTTATTTTCAATGAATTTGTAAAGAATATTCTGTTGTAAGAGCAGTTATTCTTCAGAATAAGAAATACATTAAGTATTTAACACTCTACAAGGCCTATGTTGAAAAAATCATTTTAGTACACTGTAAAAAAAAAGAATTTTAGAAAAATGAAGTATCTCTACCACTGACACAATTCCAAAATGAAAAGGAAGACTAATTTTCATTTGCACTATTCAATCAGAAAATTATCAAATCATTTATTAAAATTAGCCTATGTGGTTTCAGTTTATAAGAGGCCATAAGCATGTTTGTTTGATTTTCTTTACATGAGGCTGGCACTATGTTTTGGCTGTTTTCAGGTCATAATAATAATAGTATTAGCACATGTTAATTGAGCACTTAAGGGCCTGCCATATCTCTATTATCTTCACATAATCCTTATAACAACCTTCACCAGTAAGATCCATTACTATTCCAATTTTGCAAATGAGGAAACTAAATTGTCATCTAGAATTTAGTGAGGTAACCAAACAAGGATGGTAGGAAAACTTGTCTGACTGACTAGTAGTCCCATGGCTCTTAATTACTGCACCAATCATGTAGCACAGTCAACCTTGTCTCCTCAGTTTCACATTTTCTCACATCTCATACAAACTTATAGTTAACTCAATGTGTTTCCAGAAGAAAATCATGTCAAGTTCACTAAAATGCTAATACCTAGATACTTCTCAATTACCAAATTTCCTTTTACAAAACCGCAGTATCATATGTACTACAGACCTCTTGTGGACAAATAGATTAAAGAGGTGAGATTCTTCACTGCCTGTATCAATTTAGCTAATTTGATAAACAAAAAGTGACTTCAGGGGGCTGCTTAGTCAGAGAACTAAAGCAAAAATTCAAGCAAAACAAAGGATTCCTGCCTAAGTCTTTGGGAGAACAGATCTGATTAGATTCTTGGTAAGTTCATCAGTGAGCAGTGTTGATAATTTCACCCTACCTGGGGATGGTCTGCTTTCATGCAAAAGTATGGACATGAAGGAGGGGTACTCGTGTTCATCTGCTGGGTGGCTCAGGTTGTTCTCATTCCATCTCTTTTATAAAGGTATACAAGAATATAAATAATTTTCTTTACACCTAGTACACAGAGCTCAATGAACATGTATTTAATTCACAAGTGAAAGAATTATCTCATTACCAATTTCTTCAAATATGATGAAATAAGAAAATAATTCCTCAAAATTATAAAAATCTAAAACAGTACTTAACTGCTGACTAATAACATGGTCATATCATTTCTAATTTAACATGATTTATTTTATATCCTCATGTTCTTTCGCAGAATCATTTTTCTTTCATGAAAGAGAAAGCACTCTATCCAGGAGGTGGGGGTGAATGATGATTCAGTTAGATTTGGGAGAAGCAAAGAAATTCATCAAATAATATAATTAAAATAGCATATAGCAATCATTAAGTGCTTGGTATGTACCAGGCATTATTCTAAATATGTGGCATGTTTACATTATTTAAGATAAGTACAGGTTGCTGTGCAGAAAACAAATGACAAAGGCTGAAGACATGGAAAAAGAAAGACTAGAGCACCAAAAGATAACAGTAAAAATGTAAGGAAGGGCCTAAAGAGGATGACAGACAGACGCTGGGAGGAGCACAGTCAAGCAACTGTGAATGAGAAAGGAGAATGGAAAGAGGATACAGGGAGAGAGAGCCGCATTGATCACCTACTAGATTAGCTGTTGTACACACATCGCCCATTTTATCCCCACACTATCCCTATGAGGAAGCTTTCATAACCCTGACTTTGTCAAACAAGAAACAGGTTGCCTAAGCTTGTGCCTTAGAACAAGATTATATAACTAGTAAGTGGTAAAGTCAAACTTTAGACCTAGAGCTCTGTCTGATGCTGAAACCCACTGTGGAGTTTGATAGACAAGGTTTTTAACTAGGCTACACCCTAGTACATATCCATGACTTGGTAACTTTTCATAGTCTCGCTTATGATGATAGGGGGGAAAAAGCATTAATTTAATCACATGTTATAATTTACACACATATGTATTTACCCACTTGGAGAACAGATTAGCATACAAATTCCAAATAACAAAGATAAGAAATGATCGATTACAGCATTTTCCAGAAATGTAGTTTGCACTTCTTTTTAATTAAGCTTAATCATCGAATGATTTATATGGAAAACAAGAGTTGAGGAGTAACCATGTATATCATACCCAGTTCTTGGAAAGTGTCTATGCTCTGAAGCCTCTGTACGTTCTTGGGCTTTGTTAGAATTTCAATTTTCTATGACATGGTTCAGATCCTACTCAACTCATTGTGAGTTCACCATAGATATGTTTCACCAGCACAATGAAGCATACTAGAGTATTTAAAACCATAAGCTGTAAACATTACTATTACATAGCCTTTTGTTCACATAATGGAGAATCAAGATAAATGCTATGGGTTTTCTCAAATTTATCTTCTTCACTTTCTACAGGCTCAGGCTAATCAGGTAGAGACACCTCTAAGCATATGTAACTAATTTAGGACGTTCCAGGCAGCCACAATCTTGATTAGCAGGTGCCAAATTAAACTATTCCACAATAAGAAACATTTTGCCCAGAGGAGTATTCTGACAGCTTTCTGATCTCATAGAATTTCAGTGTGAAGTTGGCAAATTGGCTGAAGTGCAAGTCATTTATCAAATAAATAAATAGATAAATGATTGATAGAAAGGTAGATGATAGATGGGTGGGTAGGTAGATAGTTAGATGGATAGACCTTCCTGCCAGTCTACCAGGATTCTAATTTAATGGCAATTGGAAAAGACAGCATTTTTATGTGCCAGAGGAAAAATATTCTTAGCTCTGAATTTATTTCGTTTTGGTAGGTGGGGTCACACATTCTTTTTTATCACACTATACTGTTACTTGTGAACCAGAACAAAAGACTAGAAATATCATGTTTAGGAGAGAAAAATCATTCACACGCCTTTAGCCTGCTAATCCTTTCTCAGTCAAAGCACAAAGCACTTTTCCTTTTAGAATAAATATGTTGGATCAAATGAATTTCAGAAAAGGTTTTGTGCTTTGTTCTTTTTTAATTCCACTCTCTGTGGCTTGACTTTTGTTTGTCTTCCTGTCCACCTTCTACACTTACCTTGGCATTTCTCCTAATCAGCAAGCTGTACTACATAGCAATGTCAGCCTGCAGGTCAGTTAAGGTAAATCTGGCCACCTACCTCCCTGTTAAGATTTCACAGTGACCATCAGCTCACATCATTCTGTGCCAACCAGACAGAAATAACCACATGATTCTAAATTTGCCCTTCCTTTGAGGTGATAACTATTTCTTTTCCCACTCCTTTTTGTTGACTCTTTGGGATCAGATGTCTGGCTTATTCAGCCCTGTGTAGTCTTGTTCCTTTGGCACAGGAATGTTTTCAGTCACTAAACCATTGATACTAAAAGAGACACTATGAGTGTTGTTATTTTTATGTCTTCTAAAAATTAAATTTCCTATAAAATTGAGATTCCCAAATTCTGCTCAAATTCCACAGACATTTACTATGCATTTGTCTTGGTGGGGTTTTTGTTGTTGTTGTTTGAGACAGAGTCTCACTCTGTTGCCCAGGCTAGAGTGCTGTGGTGTCAGCCTAGCTCAAAGCAACCTCAAACTACTGGGCTCAAGTGATCCTCCTGCCTTAGCCTCCCACACAGCTGGGACTACAGTCATGTGCCACCATGCCCGGCTAATTTTTTCTATCTTTGGTAGAGATGGGGTCTCACTCTTGCTCAGGCTGGTCTCGAACTCCTGAGCTCAAATGATCTGCCCGCCTCGGCTCCCAGAGTGTTAGGATTACAGGCGTGAGCCACCGCGCCTGGCCTATGCATTTGTTTTATACAAGGTACTCTCATAAGCATATTAAGGGATATAATATAGTTCCATCCTATAAAGTAAACTATACATAAGTAATAACACTATAACACATGGCAAGCAGAATATGACAGGTATAAAAGCTCCAGGTGTAACGGAGCACAGAACAAAATCAGAGATTAATTATGAATGGGAGAATTACTGCTATGGGGAGAGACATGTGAGCTAGTTCTCAATAAGAACGGGTTGTGAATTGAGGGGTCAGTTGTGGGGGAGTAATCAAGAGGCTTGAAATTCAGACAGAAGGATGGTAATGGGCAAAGCATAGAAAAGGGAATTTTCAAAATGAATTTTTGAAACAACAAAAAAATCACATTTTGCCTACACAAACTAAAGTTTCCTTTAGATCAAATGGATTGGGTCTCAAATGATATATTCAGAAATCTCATTTTCTTCTGTTGACTGGTGGTTCCCAAAGCTTGCCATGGGCCAGTGATGGTTTAAGTCTAAGTTTTCACTGGACTAGGGAAAAATGATAAAAATAAAGACAATTTGTAAGGGTTTGTTTTGTTTTGTTTTGTTTTTTTTTAATGAAATGAAATGCATTCATCTTAAAATTTCTTCCTTTATTTTGATATTACGTGTTTCCTATATTTGGAATCAAATCCAATTGTTTTTATAAAATGATAGTAAGAGTAGGTGGAAGCTTGGTGGGAGGTTCTAATGTCATTGCTTTGTAAATAAAAATTGGCAACACTCTATTAAGCTCCCCAACTTATTTTTGTTTCACTGGTACACAAAACCCAAAATTTGGGAGCCACTTCCAAAGGGAATGTTGCCCACTCCCCTTGGAAGGGAGAAATGTTGTAAAAATGGTTCTCTAGGAAATATAAGTCTGGAAGCAATACATTGAAAGAGAAAAGAAAGATGAAAAAAGTGAAAAAGGAGAAGGAGAGGCAATAAACAAGACAGGCAGTGGCTGTATACAGGAAAGTAGTTAGAAATCTATGGCAAGAAGCAATCAGGACCTAATCCAGAGCATTGACAGAGGATTGAAAAGAAGCAATGAATGTCCAGGCAGATAACACAGACTGGCAATTGAGTGAATGCCTAAGATAAGGTTATGTTCTGAGAATAGAGTTTGAACCACTGGGATATCCATATAGAAAAGAGAAAGAAGCAAGAGAGATTTGGAGGAGCCCTTAAGATATGGCAGACCAGGCTTGGGGAAATTGGTAAAGCCTACAGAGGTACAACTTGGACTCATCTATATAAACATACGAGCTAAGAAAAAGCAGTCAAAGAAGAGAGGGTGGAAAAGAGAATGCTGAAAAGACCTCAGCCACTTAATTTTTTTGTTCGTTAGTCTACATCCTCTGCTGAAAGAGACAAAGGATAAAATTTATCTTTTCTGAATGTACCCTGATGAGTGAACTTCGATTTTTGCTATCATCATTTCCTTATTGATCTACCTGACATACTATTATTTTAAAGAAAAAAAAAATCTCATAATATCTCAAGATCCTATTAGTACATATCTTTGTTGCTACACATTTCCATTAAGTTCAGTATCATATCAAATTGGGGTGAGCTGGGAATTAATGAATGAAAATGAGAGTTATTGAGCCTAAGAGATTTATGAGATTGCATCAAATAAAAGAAGAGACAGAGAATGAGATTTGAACTAGAATGACACTTCAGCACTATAAGAAATTGTGTAACATTGACAAAAGAAGGACACTCAGATTTTAAAGCATTTTAGAAATTTTTTTATCATGGATATTAAAGCTGTGGTTCAATTTATTTTTTGTGTTGTAATAATAGCTAATATTTATTGAGCATTTACCACAATCTAAGCATTTGATAAGCACAGCCTCACTTAATCTTCCAAAAACACTTACCAGGTAGATAATTTTAGCACAGCTGTTTTTCAAGTAATATTAATAAAAAGTAAGATATTGAGAGAAGATAAATTACTTGTCCAAAGTCACCAAGTAGAAAGTGACTGATCTGGCATTAGAACTCAGTTGTACCAATTAGGCTTCATTCTTTGACAAATAACAGAAAACTAGCTAAAATCAGTTTAAAGAAAAAGGAAATGTATGAGTTCCCATCATTAAAATATCTCAGAACATGGCTAGGGTTAGCTCCAGAAGGCATTTAACAAGGAACTCAAACAATGCTACCAGTACACAGTATACATCCTTACCCAGCTGTCTCTGAGTTGGCTCTCTTCTCAAAAAGGCTTTTTTGTTGTGATGTCAGACCGCCACCAGGAGTTCCAGCCTTACAGCTAGGCTCCACCAAGACCAACAGAAAAATGCAACAGTCTTGCCCAGCAGGAAAAGCCTCATTGCTTTCATTCATTTCAATTAGTTTACAAGCCTGTCCTGAAGGAATCATTGCAGTCTGCTCAATGTTATGCACTAACTAACTGACAAAGCTTGGTGCCAAGAGTGCAGCACGTTTGAATGCAGGTGGAGGATTCTTTAACTGAGGTAATCCAAGGTGTGATTAACAGAAGTAGCCTGCATAGATGCTGGGTGACATGATCAGTAAATATCTCTGAAAATATAACTTTCTTTCTGAAGAATCTGAGCTTTTAACCACATATTATTCCAGCTAAACAATGAACAGCCTTAAAGAACAGATAAGGTTTTGTACATTAAAAGAAGGATACAGCTTTTGTGGCATCCTTCATACTTCTTCAAGTTAGCTATTCAAAACTACCAATGCCTGGACTGGGGAAAATGGCATGTGAAAAGAACTAGATCTATTTCTGCTGTGTAGAAACAGAAATGAACACACCCCTCCAAAGAGGCTTCCTTTGGGGGAGCCGGTGAAGGGGAGGGCAGACATTGTACATTTGTCCTGGATCACTCTTGAAGTGACTAAGAAAGAGAGGCTGGCTTTCATATCTCCTTTCTAAGCCCAGTGTTTAAACCAGAGTCCAACTCCAAATTCCTGACCCTCTAGAAGATTTTCTTCCATTTTCCACCTAATACGTGGGATTTAGTTTGAGGCAGTGAAGCATTAGTGCCCATTGCTCCATTTATCCTTTTAGAGCCCTACTAAAGATTCCACAAAAGAACCAATCTCATTCTGCAACAGGTTCCTCTCTATAAGGAAAGGACAAAGGAAAGAAAGCCCTGATCCTGTTTATGACTGTCTCTTTCTGTTCCTCTAGGAATATTAACTTGTTGGTTCTCTCTTCATCTCAAACCCTTTTTTTTTCTTTAATTTCAGCTGACTTTCCAACACATTATGGTAGGGAGAAAACAAAGTACCTGGACACTTGTAATTTCATGGATATGTTGATGAAACCATTTATAATGCAGTTAAATCCCAGCTCTTTGTGCTTAAAAAGCAAAAGGAAACACTCTATTAGGCCATC